AAGCCCAGTCATCAACACTGTCACTTTATACGCACACAGACAAGATTAAAATGTGCCTTGTTACTAAATCCTAATAAGGTCTACAGAATATTCAGCTTTGGTCTGACAGTGAGTTAAGAATGACAAGTCTTAAACTTTTGCTTGAATAACACAACAAAATGTTGATGATAATGAGGAAGGTCCTCTGTAAAGTGCATTACATGAGTAAGCATGTCACTGAAATAACCTAAACTTTGGAGTCACTAAAATACAGTGCTTAAAGGGCATATAAGACAGCCACAGTAGCTTGAATTCCTAGATATGATCAAGAAAGTGATCTAGGAAGTGAGGAAGTGCAGGTGAGTGTGGAGACACTATGAAGTGGAGGCTTCAGTATGAGTGAGCTATGAAGGAGAGTGAAGGCAGAGAAAACAAAAAGGACTTCAAATTTTAACCAGTGGCACTGCTAACTGGCTGTGGAATGTGTCCTTTCTCATACTGTTTGAAGCTTTATCAACTCCTTCCTGTGAGACCTATACCGAATACTGCAATTCAGTTAGTTTTGTCTGTTTACAATTTTGCTTTTATCTGAAATTCAATTTTTCAATTCACTAACTTATATACAGTAAGAAATTTAGTACATTCACAACTTTATTATTACATGTACTTTATTATTACATATACTTACACTTCCTGTAAATACAGAGGTGAACCATCACTCAAACAAGTTTTCTTCCCAGCCATTTTCCCATTATAGCAGCATTACCAAAGTAATGTAAGACCACATGTTCAGCAGCATACTGAAAGTCTATATGCTTAAAGGAGGGGAACAGAGAAAGACCTTCTGAAAGCTAAGGGACTGATCTTAAAATGGCAATACACTCAAAGTATCAGAAATAAAATGACCAAGTTATGGGACATTTTTCAAGACTCAAGAGAAAGGCTTAAAAACCTTGACAGACCTTGACCTCCAACTTTCTGGGAGACAGCAACCTCAAAAACATAAAACAGAGGATCACCACATTTCCATGAACAAGACAGAGGCTGAAACTTATGAAATAATAATTCTGTTTTTCATCATAAAAATTCACATTCCCCTCTCATTCCTTGTTCATCAAATAGCTTTTCTACCCAGCTTTTTGGTAGCTAGACACATTACAAGAAACACTGTTTTTATATACAAACTGCTTTAGATTTCCCAAGAAATCATCCTTCCAGAGTAGTGGAGCAAAGGGCAAAAATAAAAAACACAGGTTCCAGAAAATTAACATTCATGAATAATAAGATCTTGATGAGTTCAGTACAAATACATCAAGAATTTGACTAGTGAATCTTGGGCTAAAGAGACAGAACAATAACAAGGTTTCTTCTTCAGTTTTTTTCTCTGGTAGAGTATGTGTTCAGAAGGACCCCAGGCTCACGCAGTAATACACCACTTTTGGTACTGCTGCAAGCTAGAAAGCTAGCAGGTTAGATACTGTACCAACAGCTATCTTGCAACAGAATATTCTGTGGAAAATTGCCATTAATCATTCACATCAATTCTTATTCCAGAAACTAGAAATATACTTCAGAAACTAGAAATGTGTTCATTTAAATCATGTTCAGAATAATAATTGAAGAATACCTGAGTAATATTTAAAAAAAAAAAAAAAAAGCAGGGGGAGGAGGTTAAGAATTTTCTCCTCCTTTCTTTCTATTACAATGTAATAGATATAATCTTTTCTAAGAATGTCAAAGACAGACACTTAAATTTTTCACTTCATTCATTACAGCAACAAGTATTTTTTCATGGACTTCTCTCTTATGTCCAGCAGAGGGTAGTAAACAGCTTTGCAAACTCAGAAACTTCATCCTGACTGCGTATGAAGAGGCATTATATAGCAAAAAATTAAAGGATTACCTTTTAATTGGAACAACCCTATTCTCCACACAAGCCACCCTAAGATTATCAATGTCACCAAAAAACTAAAGTATGCATTTCCTATTTAGTGCCCACTTATATAATAAGGTAGCCTGCATACGTATTTAAACAGTGATAACTTCTGAGGCCATTTTCCCATTTAAGGAAAATTTTAAAAAAAGCAATCCATAACATGAAGACAGATAAGCAAATACAGGACTACTACATGAAAAAAATGTACTGTTTTCTGTTTGAGGTATACTACTTCAAGGCTTCTGAATGGAAATCCACCTCAAATATCATAATTATAGGTAAAAATAACATCAATAATTTAATCACAGCTTTAAATACAGGTTGATTATCAGAAGATTAACAGAAATACCTGTATTTCTAATAGGCAATACTTATTCTCATACAGTGAGGAGTTTAAAATTGGCACAGAACCATGTCAGAGTATTACAGAACTATAAGGAAACTTAAACATCTTTGCACAGCGTGAGAACTACTGCTTAGACTTTACTGCTCTTCTTTAATGCCTCTTCCACAATACACAGGAAGAAAGTGGCAACTGAGAATATGATGTACAGAAGCTATCATGCTACCAAGGCAGCTGCTTATGGCAGAGAAGAAATTCTATACATAGCAATGAGCTTAAATCTCAACAATCTCCAGGCTTCACAGAAGCACCTAAGGCTATGTGGGAATGCAGCACGCCCTTTTAAAAGGGTATGGCCCTTTTCTTCCACCGATTAGGAGGGAACCTCGTGCTCACTTCCCACTCCTCTATCCAACAGATCTGTCCTTGAATACTTCTGCTTCCTTCACAATTTCCAAGGAAAAAGCTCCAGTAGCCACACTAAGTTGAAGATGAGCATATCTGGTCTTTTTGTTGAGGTCCCTTCACTCAGCTTCTTCAGGAAGGAAAGATAATACCTCTACCTGATTGAGTTCCAGAATGCGAGAGAATAAATAGAATGACAAATGCTTCAATCAAAGAAAGACTCTGAACAAAAAAGGCTGCAATTCAGACTTCAAGCTCTGTTAACACTAAACTGCTTCCCAGTATGCTTAATTTTTTGAGGACAGGATCGTGGCTGATACACCAACTTAAAATAGGTTTTATCAATCAGATAATCAATCAATTCAGAAATCTTGAATTGGCAGCCTTTCATGATCACAGAAGAGGCAGAACAAACTGCTCAGCAAACAGGGATGCAGGTATTTTGTACAGCACAGATAACGTTGCTGTCACAAACCCTAGAGCTGGAGTCCACCAACCAGTGTGAAGTCTCCAGGTAGCAATAAGCTAAATAAGATAACCAATAAACAGAAAACATCTAGTGCAGTGTGTTTCTAGCACAAAGGTGTTTTGTTTGGTTTTTCCCAGAGATTCTTATTAATCTCCCTAATTTTAAACACAGAATGGTAGGTCCTTTCACACATCTACATATTTGAGATTTACTTTTATGATGATGAGATGCAAGCTGACAGAGCATATGCACTGCAGTTTAATTTACTTTTCACTACTCTTATACACACGGACTTGTGCTCATTTGCTTAAACCCTCCTATGCAAGAGCATTCATCACAAACCTTCCTTCACTGTTGCTTAAATACCTACACATGGAAGTACCACAAGAATACTTTCTCTGTAGTGTAGATTGTTTTCTCACTAGACTATAAAGCGATCAATACATTGATTCTAATAAAACTTAAGCCATAATTAAGTTATCTTAGCTGATTTTGGTTAATAGATAGCATTCCATGATAAAACCACTTCCAGCACACAGTTAAATATCTGAGGAACTGAGCACATCCTTTATAAATTTACAGATGGTAAATACATCCAATTAAATTACTTAAAGAGAGAAACTACTGCCTGCCTTATTCTTTTCAGCTCATGATTTCTGTGTTAGTATTATATGTCCTGAAGTTACACCAAAAAACAGCCTTCATGAAAGCTCTCAGAAGCAAAAATCTCTGTTTTAAAAGGCCTATTCAAATTTCATGGTACTTTCCTACCTGAAAGCAATTCTGTCTAGACCAATATATGCACCTCGCAGTACCTAACAATAGATTTCCTATAGATCTCTGAGGGTACAAATGTCTACTTTGTTCATTAATAATCAGTGCTTTTAGTTGACGAGCTTTAACGTTCCCTGCAGTAATTTTCTTTTGTACTTAACCTTTAGTGGTGTGTTCTAACTTTCTAGCAACCAATTCTCTAAATATTTTCTTTGCTTTTAAGGAGAAAAACAAGACAGAACAAACACAGCTAAAAACTGTACACCACATTATTCTTAAGGACTCCTAATGTTCCAGAAGTGCCAATTTTCTAAACTTAGTCATAGAAAAGACCTAAAACCATCTCTGGTAGGAAACCTACATCATAAAGAGTCATCTGGTTTCTATGCTTTTTAGCAGTAACAAATCCTTTGTCAAGAATCACTTAGTTCAGATCACACACTCAGACAGCAGTTACTATAAAACTTAGATGAACAAAATAATGAAACTTCGGAGAAAACTGCAAATAGCATTTTAGTAAAAGAAATACATTTAGAAGACACTAGTTCGAAAAGCTTGAGACTTAACATGAACAGGTATCACTCAACACGCAAACTAAAACTACCTTTAGCATTTAGGCATAGATAGGAGTGCTGTAAACATCACTGTGATCTGCTGGTATGTTATTCTCTCTACCTAGTACACTATCTGGCACCTTTCTCAGCTCTAGTATATTTTCCATTTCAAGTTTACTTACCCTAAAAACTCGTGCAAAAAAAATAAAAAACCCTAAGCAAAAAAGAACAGAGGATTAAAAAAAAGACATTACATGGTTAGAAAGAATGCAAAGAAAAGAAAGGTTTCCTGATCTCAGCCTTATTTTCATGCTCATTTACTCTTTTTTCCATCTGCTGCTCAAACACCAGTCTTAAGTGAGAAACACAAATTAAGTGGCATTGGTCTATTCAGTCTGCTCTGCAAAATGGATGTTCAACATTTTGTCAATTCTGTAAACAGAAATCACCAGAAAACTGAGAGGTTTCATCCCACAAAAGCAAAATTGTTCAGAGCTTCAGTGTTTCTTGAGAGGAATAGCAGTAAACAAAAAGCATTACTTCAAGTTCTTTTTTAAGCTGCTCCTCTTGTTCAGCACTGTGTTCAAGCTTGTGTACATGACGAGTAAGCATTTCAGAACAGTCACGATGTTCCAGCTCCATATCTTTCATCTTCTTACTTAAGTTTTGCAGTACGCTATTCTGCTTCTAGATAAAAGAAAGAGAGAGAATGAAATAACACTTTTATTAAAGTATTATTATAATAACAAAGAGCTTAAAAAAAGAACACGCTGGGGACAAAGACTGAATTACCATTTATTAAAATCCAACCTGTCAACTGAGCCACTTGCTCAAGAGCATATAAGTTCTTCATTCACCACCAGGCAAAATGCACTGGTTCAAAAATTAGCATAAACATGACCTTCTGCGCTCATAGTAAAAACAGGGACAATTCCCCACAGGAAACTGTAAATAGTAAAGGGCTACTTTTCTAACCTCTTCTATCATCCTACCAAATGTCAGCGATGGAAGGAAAGCATGCAATTGCACTGGACAAAAAGATACATAGGGACAGGAGGTTTTATTTTGCTTTGGTTTTAATTAATAGAACTTGAAATCAAATCAGACATTTTTAGAATTGGTTACTTCCATAAACTTAAAATATTCATTTCTGCTAATCTTAGAAAGACATTTGTCCAGAAATTGAATTATTTTAAACAATTATGTATGGGATCTACAAAGTAGCTCTCAATAAAATGCTGTTCCCCATTCAAATTTCTTCATTCTGAAGATAAGAGAAGGTATGGAGTGGGATAATTAATAGCAATGCTGGACTCCACAACTCCATCGAGTCACTGCTACCTAATCCACTTCTACAACACAGCTGGCTGAGAGAAAAGTAGCCAAATAATGAACTCCTAGTAGTCTAATACATACTTAAGCTGGAGATCACAGAAGTCTCAGAATTAATAGCTTTAGTCTAGTGGACAGAAATAAGCTTTCTCATAACCAGGATCAGGAAGAAGCTATAAATCCAGTGATTTAGTTGGAGAACCATTGGAGACCTAATTTGTTAAAATGGCTTTCTGTGCAAAACACAGAAAGATTCCATTAAGTCCTCTTGCTCATTTAATCCTATTCAATATCATGGCAAGAGACATTTTGTGAAAATAAACCAGAGCTATTCACTTGGTCTGCACACTCTGCTATTATTTCTACATCCCATATTCTTGTTCACGTGCAGGCACTATCATTTGACTTTTTTTGCATCCTCTGAAAAGATAACAAGGAACATCTACATAAAACATGAATTAAGAATGGAAACCTAGAGTTGTGCTGCAAATAACAGCTCTGGAAACAAATTAAACTGATCCTCTAATGTCTCTTCCCACCTGTATCAGACCTCCCACTATAGAGCAAAAAAGAAAAGTTTAATACACAATTACTCACACTCCCTCCACACTGAAAAGACAAATATCTGTATCTCTTCAGTGCACATTCCAGACGTTAACAAAAATAAGCCAGGAAAAATATGTATTAAATAAGTAATATAACATTTGTACATAGTGGAAAAATACAGTGTCAAGATTTAAAAATATTTCATATTGGAAATGTAGTTGACATTCATCAGTCTACAACTAACAGGAATACATCAAGCTAGTTATACAAGTCAGTATGAGTTGTAGGATGTTATTAACCATTAAACCTTAAAAAATGTTTTAGAAATGTTTTGACTTCTCCTAAGGATGAAACTGTACCACATCAGCCCAACAGTCACCTGCCCTTAGAAACTACAAGGAGAAATATCTGATTATGTAAAAAATATACACATAAGCTCACATAGCATGTTTACACTACGCACACATATAAATATCGCTGACTATTTTTTAATGTGTGTATAAACAACGTGATCACACAAGTAATTTAAGAAAAAACTGGAGTGTTTCTGGGAAATAATATTATCTTCTGGCTAACCACAAGGTGATGCTATTGCACTTATTAAACTCCAAATCTTTCTTACCTTATGAAGCAGATGGGCTTTAAAGTATAATCAATAGACACATTGAAGAGCCTGTTATAAATCAGACAGGATTACTTTCCCTCCAGTCAGTGTATCCTTTATGAATTTCAGCAAAGCTTTTGATACTGCATCTCACAGTATCCTTCAGGACAAAATGTCTAGTATACAGCTAAAGATAAATGTAATCCATTTGAACTCCACTGAACAAGCAGTTGACATGTCAGGCTCACAGTTATAGTGATTGGGTGGTGGCCTTCAAGCTGGTGGCCAGTAGCTAGTGGGGTCCTGCAAGGCTCCATTTTGGGCTCAGTTCTCTTAGATCTTTTCTTAAATGACTTGGATGTAGGAGCTGAAAATATATTATGCTACGTAAGCTAGTGGATGACTCTAGATTAGGAGGCAATGTTGACTCTCTTGAGAGTAGAAAGGCCTTGCAGAGAAACCTTGACAACTTTGAAGGCTAACAATCACCAATCACATAGAATCCAACATGAATAAGTGCTAGACTCTGCATATGGAATAGGACAACCCTGAATTTATGCATAGTCTAGATAACAAGAAGCTGGGGAGCAGCTCCATGGAAAGGGATCTGGGGGCTCTGGTTGACAGCAAGTTGAAGATGAATCAGCAGTGATTTCTGGAAGCCATTCCTATACCCTAGGGTGTATTATACCCAGCACTGTCAGCTGACTGAGGGAAGAGACTTCTCTGTGCTGGTGCAGCCTCAACTCAAGCTTTGCGTGCAGTTTATACAGCACCACAACATAAGAAAGACATTAAGCTCTTAGATATTATCTAAAGGAAGGCAACAAAGCCATCATATATATGGTTTGAATATGGGGTAGAGGCAGGAGTGGGACTCAGTGATCCCTGTGGGTGCCTTTTAATTCACTGGAGACGCATCTTAATATGTTAAGCTGACTTATTTTCATGCCTCAGGATTTCCACAGCCAACTACAGAATCGCACTTCATTAGGTACAGCTTTTCCAAGAAGGATTGGCACGAATACTTAGAATCTCTTTAAGCTGTATAAAGTAAGACCAAAACTAAACAAAATCACATAGTGCTGTGTGATCTTCCTCCACAACCAGGTCTCTCAAGTGTTAACACAGCAATATAGCGTCTCATGGTTTTAAGACTTTTGTCATTAGTATTCTACGTCATAATATCATGTAGTGCATTGGGAGTTAAACAGTTAATGCTCCACTTCTATGGATTGTTGATAGTTCTGAGTACCTGGTTCTCAGAGAAGAGCAACAACTACACATCCCAGAAGACTTTCACTGTTCCATTCCTGTTTTCTATTTAGTAGGAAAGATAAAACGGCTCACAAATCACAAGACTGCCCCTTCTTTCAGTGCTCATCTCGTTTGTGTGTGCTCCCTACCCATCTCGCCTTCAGTACAACAGTGAGACCTTCCACTTTTGGACACTCTCTCATTTTATTTGGTTTACACAATTCCAATTATATTGTAATATATTGTTTATCATGCATTCTGCCATCGTATTTAGTAAATTAGTTTTCTCCCTTAGCTCATTGCTGCTGTTTTGTTTTCAGAGCCATCTCCACACCTTTTTCTTAACCCCGCCCCCTGTCTCAGGGTGGGGGGGTTATGGGTCTCTCTGCCCCATTAGTCACAGAACCAGCCCAAAACCGGACCAAACTGTTGACACAGTACAGCTCCTTCTGCTAGCACAAGAACAAATACAGCCACACCACCTGATTTCAGGTCTAATTGCACCTTTCTTACTACATCCTGCTTTCAAAGGATTGAAAAGAAAGTTCACAGTACTCTGGAATAGATGTAATTCAGCAATTCTCTCTGCTCTTATCTTTTTTAATAGATGCTCCCATGGGTACAGTATAGAATCTGATAAACAGCACCATAATGTAGTGTAAGAGGTAACTTGGCTGTCAGAACATAGCTTCCAAGCTGCCAGGAAGTGTTTAGTGTCACTGGGAGGACTGTTTGGCAGTGCCCCAGGTCTGCAGCTAAGTGCGTGGGAAGAAAGCAGAGCTAATTTTCCGCAGCTTGACCTGCAACAATTCCAACTGAGTCAAGTTTCTCATATTTTAAAGGAAGTTACAAAGAATGAAGTGGAAAAACATGTAAAAAAACCTGAAGTTGAGTAACAGAAAATGAATGTCTAAGTAGCAACTTGTTTTCTGCATTTGTCACTCTTATGAGTAAATGGCTATATATTTCCACAATGTTCAGTCAGTGTATTTCTACATTTCCAACTAATTTGAATCTCTACTAGAGCCTTTGCTCTACACTTCTTTTAAAGCATGAGTATTAGAGTATCCTGAACTCTAGAAGACAAAACCACAGGCATCATCAAGTTCAACACCTGGATCCATCTAGGATCACCCAAAATTCCAACTCTTATTTTTAAGAGCACTATCCAAACACTTATTTCAGTAGGCTTAGTGCCAAGACGGGTTCCCTGGGCACCTGTTCCAGTGCCCAATCACTGTCTTGGTGAAGAACCTTTTCCTAAACCCCGACATGACTGTCCCTTGAGGCAGCTTCACACCACTCCCTTATGTCCTGCTGCCATCACAAGAGATCAGCACCTGCCCCTCCACTCTGTGTGAGATCGGGGTCTACAGCTTTGAGGTCTCCCATCAGTTCTCTAAGTTGAAACAAACAAAGGGACCCGAGTAACTCCTCATACATCTCACCCTCTACACCCTTCATATCTTCATAGCCCTCTCTTAGATGTTCTCTAATAGTAGTTGAATACCTGTTCATTTTTCCTCAACTCGTGTTGTTATACCACTGAGGCATATGGTGATTCAATTTTCCATTATAGAAATTAAAATGATTAAATTATAATTATGTAACTGTTATTATCCCAGTGGCATATGTTAATGTTTGGGTATGTTAACATCTCCACACTTTATCACTACATTTCTTTGAAATATAATTATTTTGAATTGCTTGACTGTGAAAAAAGCATTAAAGTTATTAAAATTATAAACATATTTTGCATCTAAGGGATTTATGCATGCCAGTGGAGCCCAACTTAGAAAGTGACTTTCCAGAAATATACAGAAATTCATTATCTGAAGAATAAAAATCCACAGCATAAGACATAATATATCACCTCTAAATACCAAATGATTTTTTTTTTTATCTGAATTTCCAATAGCAGAAGTTCTTTCTATCAATGCTAAGGTTACAGAAATTTTAAAACTTCACTGATATTTATCACATTCTTCTTATGTTGCACAGAGCAAATAACATACAACACACATTTGGAAATCCCATTATCACAGTCTGGGTTCCATGAGTGTGTTATCTCCATACTGTACAAGTGATTTCTTGTGCTTAGAAGCAAAAGACAGACTAAGGGAAGTAAAAGGAAAATCGAGTTAGAAGCTAGGTCTTAGGCTTCCCTGGTTTTACTAACTCAGCTTTGAACTATATAAAGGACAAGTGGGCCTCACCACCACTGTGCACTGTTGACTTGGTTTAGTTGCTTAACACAAAACCTGTTCACGTTCCAGCGAAGCAGGAAAGTCTGCAAAACAGTAAGTATAACTTCACAGAATTATACTCTTCAGAAAAAATAATGCAACGTTTATCTATTAGGAAAAATCCCCATCCACTACCCAGCCTTTTGCATCATCTTATGCAATTCATCTTCACAGCTATTAATAGATCATACCTGTAAAACGCTTTCTAGTTCACTTCTTTCCTTAAGAAGCAATTCATATTCATCCTTGTGTGTTCTGAGAATATCATCCTTTTCACTCGCAAGTCTTTGTTGTTGTTCTTTCCACTTCTGTTGAGCAATATGAAATGTTTTCTCAGTCTCTACCAGTCTCTGCTGAAGCTTTTCATTGAACGCTATTGTTTACAGAAAAAGAGGAAGAAAGATGACGGTACTACTGCTAAGCACGCTCAGAAAAAAAAATGTGACTGTTGGCTCTTCTATATTGTGATATTCTCTGGAACATTACAACAAATATTTCTAGCACAGGAGGGCACCACCTCCACTATAAAAAGGAAAAAAGTTAAGGCTTGAGTAGCATCTTTCTCACACAAGGACATAAGAATGCTTTTAGAGATTTTTATGAATTGAAGCACTTCTCTTGGATAAGACTGAAAACTTGAGCTAATTCTTTCAAGTGAGGTATCTGTAGCATGGAGGACATAATTTCAGATTTCCACAATGTTTGGTCAGTGTATTTCTACATTTCTAACTGATGTGAGCCTCTACTATTTAATTCTGAGTTCAGTTAAACGCGGTTAAAGACTATAAAGATATGCACCCACCTAATGAAAGGATCCTCTACTCTGCCCTGGTGAGACCACATTTAGAAAACTGTCCAGTTCTGGGTTCTCCAGTTAAAAAAAGACATAAATCTCTTAGACGGAGCCCAGTGGAGGGCCAAAAAGACGATGAAAGACCTGGAGTATCCCCTGTATATGAGGAAAGACTGAGTAACCCAGGTCTGTACAGCCTGGGGAAAAGATGACTTAGGGGGAATCTGATAAATGTTTATGAATAACTGAAGTGAGGAGGGAAGCAAATGGATGAGGCCAGGCTCTTTTCAGTGGTGCATAGTGATAGGACAAGGAGTAATGGCCTAAAACTTGAACACAGGAGGTTTCATAAAAACACACAGAAGAACCTCTTTACAATAAGGGTGATGGAGCACTGGAAAAGGTTGCAAATACAGATTGTGGAGTCTCCTTCTATGGAGACATTCAAGACCTTTCTGGACGCCCACCTGTGTGACTTACTGTAGGTTACCTGCTTTAGCAGGGGGATTGGACTATATGATTTCTTGAGGTCCCTTCCAACCTCAATACTGTGATTTTATGACAATAGGAAAACCTGCTGAGTGAAGCCACTGATGGAGCGGAGGGAAGGGATGCCATCCAGAGAGGGCAGGCTTGAGTGATGGGCCTCTGCAAGCACTATGAACTTCAAGAAGATTAAGTGCAGGATCCTGCATCTTGATCATGGCAATCCCAAGTACAAATACAGGCTGAGCGATGAGCAGGTTTTGAGCAGCCCAGCAAAGAAAGACTTGGGGCTAGTGGAGGACAAAAAAATGAACATCAACAATGTGCAGTAGCAGTCCAGGAACCCAGACATATTCTGGGCTGTATCAAAAGCAGTATAGCTAGCAGATCAAGAGAAGATTTTTGCTTTCCACTCTGCTTTAAGGAATCCTTGCTTGCAGTACTGTGTTCAGCTCTGGGGCCCCTAACATCAGAATGAAATAGAACTGTTGGAAGAGGTCCAGAAGAGAGCCACAGTGACAATCAAAAGGCTGGAGCACCTCCTCTCTTGAAAAGGAGAATAAGTTGGACTTGTTCAACATGAGAGAAGGCTTTGAGGAGATCTCACTACAGCCTTCCAATATTGTCACGGTTTTAAGATTTTTGGTTATCAATATTCCACATCATAACATCATGTAGTGCACTGGGAGTTAAAGAGTTAATGTCCAGTTCTGGGTACCTATCCCGGAAGAAAATACCCCAGTCCCATACCTGGACTTTCCATTCAGAGAAGAGATGAAATCTCTGGCAAAGTCACAGTACCTGGCTCTCCTCCCATCTATTTACCCCAAGTGCATATCTTGCCTCAGCATTAGTGTAAGCTCTTCAGTTTTTCAGAGACTCTCATTTAATTTATTAGTTTTAATTCTTATTATATTGTATTATTGTATGTTATCTTGCATTCTGATATTTAGTAAAATATTTTTTTTCACCTCCTTCAACCAGATCGTTGCTGCTGTTTTGTTTTAGGCCCACCTATCTTTTCCTCTTTCCAGGGCTTGGATCCATGGGTCACTCTGCCTTGGCTTCACAGAACCAGGCCAAACCAGCCCATAAACCATTGACTAGTATCTAAATGGGACCTACTGGAAAGGTGAAGGACTCTTCATCAGAAAGTGTAGCAACAAGACAAGGGTATGAGTTAGAAATGAAAAGAGAATAGATTCAAGATTAGACATCAGGAAGAAATTCTTCACTATTTAAGTGATGAGGCAATGGAATAGGTTGCCTAGAGAAGTTGTGGATGTCTCATTCTTTGAGGTGCTCAAAGCCAGGTTGGATGGGCCTTTGGGCATCCTGGTCTCTGAAAGAAGTCCCTGCCCATTGCAGGGCAGCTGGATCTAGGTGATCTTTAAGTCCCTCCCAGCTCAAGCCATTCTGTGATTCTATAACTCAAGGCAAGGTAAGCCAGTGAGAAAATGCTTACCCTTTACAAGGAATCTTTGTGTTGCTCAAGTTCAGACCAGTCAAAAGAAGCCTCAGAAAGAACAGGGGAAAAAAAAAAAAAAGATGAAACATTGACAAGGGCTATAGGACATAAGGGCTCATTTGTGTCCAGCCCAAGCCAGATAAGGTCACATCTAAACACTGAAGAGCTGTAGAGCTGTAGAATCACAGAACCACCAAAGTTGGAAAAGACCTTAAGGATCATCCAGTCCAACTATCCACCTATCAGCAATAGTTCTCACTAAACCATGTCCCTCAACACAATATCCAAACATTCCTTGAACACCTCCAGGGTCAGTGACTCCACCACCTCCCTGGGCAGCCCACTCCAGTGCTTGACCACTCTTTCAGAAAAATAATATTTCCTAATGTCCAGCCTGAATCTCCCCTGGCGCAGCTTGAAGCCATTTCCTCTAGTTCTATCACAAGTTACATGAGAGAAAAGACCAACCCCCAGCTCACTACAATCTCCCTTCAGGTAGTTATAGAGAGCAATAACGTCTCCCCTGAGCCTTCTCTTCTCCAATCCCAGAACAATCCTTCAATCCCAGCTCCTACAGCCGCTCCTCATAAGGCCTGTGCTCCAGACCCCTCACCAGCTTTGTCGCCCTTCTCTGAACCTGCTCCAGTGCCTTGATGTCTTTCTTGCAGTGAGGGGCCCAAAACTGGACACACGTGAGTGACCCAAAACTGGAGATGTGGCCTCACCAGAGCTGAGTACAAGGGGACAGAACGCTTCAAATGGTGAAGAAAATAAGCAGAAAGTTACAAGCAGCAAAGGAACCGAGAAGCAACTTTGTAACTAATGTACTTCTTTGACAGCAGTTGCAGAGGAAGAGGAAAAACCAGGGGAATTTCAACTCAGACAGACTGCGAAGTATAGTTTCTTTCTGATGGTGAAAGAAACTAATACACTGACTTAGAAGAAAAATTCTGTGAAATCTCTTATCCCTGTTTTTGCCCTTCATTTCTCTTATCACAAAACAAACTAATCTGTTTGGTGAGGGGGAATCAGGGTGAGTACACTGTGATTACTACAGTGGCAGAAGCCCCTATGGAGTCCTACTTCCCAGACCCTGCCAGAAGATCACTATTTTGGGCCCAGTCTTACTCCATTCCTGCCTCTCTTCTTCTATCCCACCCAGGTCCCTCACCCATTTCTCTCCTCCTGTTCTGGCACTTTCTGTCTGTTTGTTTGCTCCCTCTTACAATTTACCACCCTTTCTGATCTATGTTTCTAGAGGTGCCAAAGGCTCACTTGCGGGCACACTGTCACAGTGGGTGGGTGGGTTCACTGCGTGGGGCTAACTACAACTGATCTCCTCCTGTAAGGTTCAGCCATGGACCTGTGCCCACCACCCACTGCCAGTTACATAATGGAGCTGCCAATAAACACAGATTTTTCTGCATCACAGGATATTACAAAATGAGATTTTAAGTATGTTTAAGTGTACAAACACCTACTACTCACATCTAAATCAGAACAGACTCAAAACTGACATGTAAACTCGCAAAATGAGCATCTAAAGATAGTCTCCTTTAAGTAAGAAAACAACAGTTCAGGCTTGAAATTCCCAAAGAATGTTTTGCTACATCTTTTATTCTCCAAAGGATTTAAAAATGCAGTTTTCCAATTATCTTAAAAACACCTGGCACTTTCAAGCATTTCCAAGTCTCTAAAGAGACGTGGAAGACAAGTTCTACATAAGAAGCACCCCGAACTCCTCACTAAAAAAAATCCACAATTCAAACTCAAATACACTTCCTCTACTAGATTATAAGGTATTATATTTACTTCAGTAAGTAGAAATTGACCTCTAAGTGAGATAAGAATGAGAAATTTTCACATACACTGTTGAGAAGAATGAAGGAAATAAAGAGTTTCTTAATGTAGACTAGCTACTAGACTAGCAGTAAGTGGCCGATTTTTATCTAGACATTTTTTTCCTGCTAGTCTATGACTACTGTCATATTCCCACAGAACAGATTAACTTTGCAACATATATATATTACCCATAAAAAGTGAAGCAAGGAGGAAGAATGGGAACTAGACAAGAATGATGAAAATGATGCTTTTGAAGAGGTGAAATACAAAAGAAATGTTAGAAAAATAAGTTGTTGGAAATAGTACAAATGGAGAGTAATACTTCTTTTTTTAAAGGGAACGAAGAACTGCTCTGCACTACTGTTCAGTTAAACGTGGATTAATCATGATTAAAATTCTGAACAAGGACAGCAGTTAAAGAGGGAACAACAGAATGCGTGGAGAGAAAAGGAAAAAAAAACAAAATGACAGACTTAAGAGTTTAATTTTAACTCATGCATGAGCCACCAAGCGTAAGAGTTTACAAAAACAGATGGCTAAGAAATGGAAAAGAGATCAAAAAAAAAAATACAGCAATAAGTGGGGAACTTAATTAACCTACTGGAACTCAGTTTCCTTCTTGACCTGAAAGAGACTTTACCATTTTTCAGCATTTACTCTTTTCAAACTTACCTTGCAGCTCTGCAAGCTTGTTTCTTGCATCATTTAACTCTTCTTCTACAGTACATATTCTCAAACGAGCATCTTTTTTGGCAATTGCCAATGCATACTCCAGACTTTGTCGAATTGCCTCTCCTTTCTCAAATTCAGACCGTAATTTGACAATCTGGATTTCATAGTCACGCAGCTACAAAATAAATTTGTTTCAGAAAACTGGCAAGAATGCTCTCTTAAAGAAACAGCATATTACAGAAATACATCTAAGGAATATTTTAGAAAGCGAGCTTCAATCGCGTTTGCAGATACCTACTCATTCACACATATCTGAACTTAAAATCTAATCTACTGCAAAAGACAAAATTTGTGTAAATGAGTACTGATTATTCCTGTTGTTTTATATAGCCAAACTATTCATATTTCTAGACTGAGTTCTGGTATTCCAAAAATACTCCTTCCATTTACCAAAACTGTTCTACCATAAGATAATAAAAGCTGTAATATTATCATCTTCCTGGACCTCAAAGGCAAAAACTGCAGCAACCAGAACACTGTGTTCAACTAGCGAATTTATATTAATTTTCTCCAAATTTAACACTTAAAAGACAGTCCAGTATCCTTCATGACTATCAGACATCTAATAACTGACAGGCGTGCAGTATGAACAAAGTTTAGTCCAATATAATTATTCAGTCAAGCAGAATGCAGCTAAATTTGAAAAACTAAGAATGAAAAATCCTTTAAAAAGTAATTTCCTCTCAATTAAGGAATGCAGACCAGTCATCGCTACTAAAACCTGTGTCTAGAAAATAAAATCCAAGCTATTTCATTACAAGAAGGTGGAGAGTAAATACAGATCTCTTCAGAACATCAACAGAGTTTGACTTCAATAACAGTGGTTGTAGCTAACTTGAGCACTTCCATTATCTGTAATCATCTGGCACAAAAGTATCCCAGGTAGTTCAACTGCTTGAAAAGTAATCCAACTTTGTGGTTCCAGTACAACATAACACAGCACATGAATTTTGTTGCACACACTAAGTTTATTCTGAACTTAAAAGGTTACTGTTCAAATTTAGATAACTCCTGGGACCCATTTTTACGGAACAAACCCACAGCCAATGGGACAGCAGGAAGAGAATGCCATACAAGACCAACAAGACAGAGGCATCTCTTAAGTTGCATGCAGACTCCAATAATGAACAGATGTAAAAAGCAAGTTTGGCGTAATGACCAGATTTAGCACCAAAAATGAATGAGTAACTGCACCAACCACCCATAGCAAACTCTTAAGACTAGAACTGCTATCCAGAGAGGTAATTTCTCTGCACAAGCACAAGTCTAAAGCAACACATCACCCATCATATTGGCTTTAGCAAGAGTGGTAAATATTCCAATAGCAAAAAGTCCAAATTGATTACTGATACAGCTGTACTCAGTGCTCATTCTCCCTTACGTATGTGAGTGCAAAAAAATGGATATGCAAATTAAAATAGATTAGTTCTTAATACTTCAATACTAATTTGTCACAGCATCATGAGGAAAAATCTTTAAGTTGGTATCTTCATTATTCTAAGTATTTCCCTACACATGGAGTCTTCATTCAGCAGTGTGCACTTGTGGCCAAGAGGGCCAATGGCATTCTGGGGTGCATTAAAAAGAGTGTGGCCAGCAGGTCGAGGGAGGTGATCCTCCCCCTCTACTCTGCCCTGGTAAGGCCTCATCTGGAGTACTGTGTCCAGTTCTGGGCTCCCCAGTACAAAAAAGACAGGGATCTCTTGGAAAGAGTCCAGCGGAGAGCCACAAAGATGGTGAAGGGCCTGGAGCGTCTCTCCTATGAGGAAAGGCTGAGTGAGCTGGGTCTGTTTAGCCTTGAGAAGACTGAGAGGGGACCTGATCCAGGTCTATAAATATCTAAGGTGTGGGGGGCAGAGTGGCAAGGCCAGACTGTTTTCAGCGGTATGTGGAGACAGGACAAGGGGAAATGGCCGAAAACTGCAGCATAGGAAGTTCCGCACCAATGTGCGCAAGAACTTCTTTACGGTGAGGGTGACGGAGCACTGGAACAGGCTGCCCAGGGAGGTTGTGGAGTCTCCTTCTCTGGAGATATTCAAGACCCGCCTGGATGCCTACTTGTGCGATCTGGTGTAGGGAACCTGCTTTGGCAGGGGGGTTGGACTCGATGATCTCTGGAGGTCCCTTCCAGCCCCTACAGTTCTGTGATTCTGTGATTCATTAGGGAGAGTTTTTGACAAATGTCATGATATTTGTGCTTTTGCAATAAATTATGCAAAATTACAAATCTGAACTAAGATAAGACATTGCAAGACCATTAAAAGATACCCCATCTGGATGTGATGCACACACACACAAAAAGGCTTTGAATTTATGAATTCTGCAGAATTAAAACAATGCCCTAATATTCTGGCAAAAAATATATATATATATAAAATAGATATTTTATGTATATATATATACACATACACACACACAGGTAAAACTAAATACAGCCCCTTCATCAGGATAAACAAGCTATGATTTGTATCTATTTGTGCCATTGAGCAATTCTGTCTAACAAGATACTGGTAGAGGCAAGTACTTTCCCTGAAGTGACTTCAATTATTAGCAAAGACAGTACAGCTGCTATCAGTCCGTATGAATAGCTGTAAGAGTTCTGTACTGTGATATCTTTGATGTTGCTTTTCTCTTTTGGCTAGTGACAGCATTTTTGACAGATCATATAAGAAAATCTTAATGAACACATTTACACTTCTTACAGAAGTAAAATAAAAGAGAACGAAAAGAACTTACTTCTTGATTGTGTTTAATGATGATGTCTACTTTTTCTTCCTTGGCTTGACAGAGTTTCCTTTTCAGATCTTCAGCAATGTCCAACTCTGATGCACTGCTATTCCGTACTGACTGTGACCCACTCTTGGCACTACATAAGCTGCAAAGTATGAATATTTCCAAAATACATGAATAGTACTTATAAATTTTAACATTCCCTTCTTTAAATGACTAGATTCTGAGGAAAAAAAAATGCAAAGCATTCACTTACGTAAAATTATGCCGTGTATTTGCTACCTAACTATTATTTTTAGAAAAAAGAGTTAGATGTAACTGCTCATGTAAGATATAGGATGTAGCAATAGGCACTGAGAAGAGAGACACTGGCTGCATTTCCGAGAGTTGATGTTAAAGTAATCATTATTTTACTATTTTTTATTTTCCTATTTCAGTTCAATAAGCTTTCAGGACAGCTTCAATACATCATTACACCTCTCTTTTGTCTCCTGCAGTAAGGCTCTTTTAAAAAAAAAACACAAACACATGAGTTACTATCTCAAGACCACCTCTGCCGTAGAACAAATGCAGACCTTTGGAATGAAAATAATCTTTACATGTTTATCACATAGGTATACACTTTACATATATAAGCAATTGATTATGAACAATACAAATTCAAGGTCTACTTCTTTAAAATTCCCAGCACAATCATTTCAGTTAGAATCTCAATTAAAAATGAAACTAAAACTAGTAAGATAGATCCTTGCAGACCACAAATAATAATAAAATTAAAAAAACAAGCACTTATACGTAGAGTAGAAATTTAGTATAAAAATGATAATTTAATTAACTTGTTTGATAATCTCACATGCAATTACTGCTATTCAAGTTGGCCATACTTTAAGTTACTTCAAGTGTTAAAAATCATTTTTTGCACTCACACATGTAAAAAAAATTGACATTAGCTGCTCCACATTAAAGCAGAAGTTCAGGATCACCAAGAAACATACAGCCCAAAGAAACATGACCAAATTAACCACAAAATAGTCAGTTTCCAACAGACTTAAAAACAATAGAATGTTTATCTTCATCTAATGAGTCCTAAATATTAATTACAGAAGTAACAGAATTTATTACTATTTAATTATTTGTTGGTAAGGGTTTGTTTTTTTTTTTAAGGACTTTTGTTTTTTTTTAACCAAGAGTCTAAGTTTTTATACTAGATTATTTTCTGTGAACGAGAACTGTATGTGTTAATACATGTATCTGAAATTTTTTTTTCAAAAGACAAGAATGCTATGAAAGCCAGGGAACTTAACATAACTTTTTAACTATTAACTGCAGTGGCATCACTAAAAAGAGGATGACATTTTATTTTTTAGCACATGTCCAAAGATATTTTATCATACAATTAGTAAGTCTGTTTCCACTTTATATATCAATATAAATTATATAAACACTTAAGTAAGTTAAGTCTATTTTCACTTTAAAACAAGACAAAGTTAATGTCAATGGGTTACAGGCTGGTTTGGCCCTATTCTGTGACTAGTGGGGGAGGAAGGATGGGGGAGTGCCCCACAGACCCATAGCCTGGGAAGGGAAAAGGGAAAAAGAGGAAAAAGGTAAAGAGATGGGACTAAAAACAAAACAGCAGCAACAATCTGAGGAGAAACAAACTAATTTACTAAATAAGATATCGGGATACAAGATAACACACTATGATACAATATAATTAGAATTGGAGCTAATAAATCAAGTTAAATGAGAGAAAATGTCCAAAAACTACAGGCTTTACTCTAATGCTGAGGCAGGTGAGATGACTGGGAGCAGAGATGAGCTGGGAGGGCAACAGATTAACAAACAGTTATTATCTTTCCTTCAGAGTGGAAACAGCAACAGAACAGCAAACAGACCTCTGGGGTATGTAGTTCTTCTTCTCTTCTGGGACAGGTACCCAGACCTGGAGCATTAACTCTTTAACTCCCAGTGCACTACATGATGTTATGATGTGGAATACCAATAACCAAAAATCATAAAACCATGACACCTATGAAATAAAAATAACTCTGTGTTACAGTAGTTGTTCCACATGGTGCCATTTCTTTAACATATTTTGTACGCTTAATAAATGCAGGAGATCAGGACCATTAAAGCCTGCATGTACTTAGAGAAAATGCCAGGCACATTGCTAGCTTTTTGGTAAGGTGGAAGAAAGAATTACTGTTATTTTAAATAACTCTTAGCTAGGGCAGCAAGAAGGAGTGGTAGATCAAGCAGGAAACAAGAGATCTGAATACTGTGCGCTTCCAGAAGCTGTGTAAGAGCTTGTTTGTGGACATCATATAAATGTCCAGAGACTTCTCCTTCGCAACCCCCTCCCCACAGCTGTAAAAAAGATAGAAGAAAGAAAGGTAGATAGCCTTATTCAGAGATGAAACAAGGACCAGTCTCAACAAAATACAGCTATAAAAAGGCCAGGTTTCAAAGTTAGCAAAGCATAGGCTAGACTGGAAAAAAAATAATCTAAAGTGCCTCTCTGTCCACTCTCCCCAGCCTTCAAATCAGCAACAGGTATGGGAAGAATTAAAGATTTTGTTAAGTTTTGGGGCTGGGGAGGGCAGGAGTCATGGTTTGCACCAGCATTATTTTGCCTCTTAAAACCTGCTAATTATGTACTAATTGACCAGGGAAATAAACAGAAAAAAAGCACAACGGAGGAAACTATGAAATAAACGTGTGGCTTTGTGTGATTAATATTATAAACATTGGAATCAGTAGAAAAAGAGCAAACACAAGAAGTAAGATACTGGAGACAATCCAGAAATTGTATGTTGGCTTTGGATCATTAATATGAAAGGGTGACTACTGAAAAAGCAGCAGTATGTCCTTTTTTTGAATAGTATTTTCTGCATAGCTTCTAAAGCTCACAATGACATTACTGAAAAACTAATAATACAGAGTTGAAAACACTATTTTTGTTCTCAGCATAAAATCAAAAAGGAAGAACTTCTTTACTGTAAGAGTGACAAAGTACTGAAATGAGCTGCTCAGAGATCCCTAGTTGTGGAGTCTCCCTCTCTGGAGATATTCTAGACTGACTGGATACTTTCCCATGTGACCTGCCATAGGGAACCTGCTTTTAGCAAGGGCAGGGTTGGACATAAATCTGAAGAGGACCCTTTCAACCTTTATAATTCTGTGAGATTCTTCCTTTCATATTCAGATGAAGTCCAGAGGTGTTACAATATAAAGCTGAGGGAAGCTTAAATCAAAAACAAAAATCACACAAAATCCCTAGAAAGTGTTACAGTACATATGATTTGCAACCTAACAAGAATTCAGAGAAAGCTTTTTGTTTCTACTGTCTTTTATTAATAGTTCATTAGTAACTGCTTTTGAACAAAAAAACATGTATTTTATCAACTACAACTTTTATCAAAGGCACTGCCTTTAGAAGTATTTTGCAGTTTCTTAGTAACAGAAGCGAAACAACTTTTGAGTTCTACCCTGTAAAGTGCCCCCCTAACTCAAAAGCTTTAAGCTCCTACTCATTTACTAAGCCGGCTAGTTACAATGGACAAAGAACATGACAGAAGAAGGTTTCTCACCATCCTTCCATCTACGTGTAGCAGACAGCATATGGGAACTTTAACAGTGAGAATTTGTCTTATGTTCCACTTATCAATTCAATCCTCAAAACTCACCTATCTGAGGGAGTGGTCCACAGTCTGACTGCCTAACTCAAGTTTATATTCAAGGATTTTTTTCTTTCTGTCTATCCGTGAGCAAGACTTAAACCCAACCTCTAAAACCTCAATTAATACAGAATAATTCTGGCATTTCACATCAGCATCCCAAACAGGAGACAGGAACTTCCTTTCTATGTAAGTTATGTCTTCTGCTATGACATAAGAATTCCTGTACATCAGATGGCCATTACAAATCTCTTTAGACAAATAAACCTTCTCATATAATGACTATAACAGTATAACAGCTTTAATGCATCATATCTGCTTCTTCTGACTTATACAGTCTCAGGGATCTAGAATGTTAACTACAGAAAGCTGAGCCATAATACCAGACTAAGATTCAGACGTAAAACTTACTGTTTAGCTTCATGGTCAACATGGCTGACTGGAGAAGACAAATTCATTATGTCAGTCATGTGGCTTTTTAAGTCTATGAGCTCCGTGGAATTAAGATCATCTTCAACAATAAATGTTTTAAGTTGAGACGCTTCAAAGTTCCCTCTTTTCCATAAAATAAAGGCATTAAAACCTGTAACACAGAGACATAGTTTAGTTTACTTGGTGACATAATTTGTTAAAACACTTTAATGAACAGCATTACTGCAGCACCATCTGAACAATTACCATCAATTGTAATTTGACAACTGTTTTGTTCAGTAAACATCTGCACTGTTAGTTCTCTGAGCCTGAAAGGTTTAGATTAAAAAAAAATTGTAGAAAATCTGCTATCAGTTTTCAGATAGATGCAACAAAATGCATTGTCTGCACAGATTGTATCCGTCACGACAGCCTTCACTCTTAAGAGGATCGCAAACTTGATTTCTCTTCAAAATCATTCTAGGGGAGATTAACACTGTGTTTTGTTGGGCTTTGTTTTGGAGGTTTGTCTGGTTGCTTTTCACTTTCTTTTTTTTTTTTTTCTTTAAGTAAGTCAATAATCAAGTGTCAGTGCAGAGCAACACAACCAGCCTTCTATTTCATAGATCCGGTACTTCCTACTCAACAGTATTTCTCCTGCATGAGATGCATCAGCAATATCAGAGAGCACAAAGGAGAACCAAGCTGTAACCCAGATCCTTTTTACTAGAAATTTCGTAATTCAGTATCAGCAATAGAAAAAAAAAAAAAAAATCAGTATCAATTGCATTTTTATGACACACACTGTGTATACATACATCTGTATACATGTGTAACACATGTGTACCTATCCATCTATATATATTTACTTCAGGTTGAGTAGCAAACTCATAATCTATGAGCTCTTTAAATCAGTTAAGGCGAGCTCACAGGACGAACAGACAACATTCAGCGCTCAGGTTAACGAGGCAAGGAACTCCAAGGCAGTTCAGCTCCCCGGCACCGAGGCACTCCTCTGTGGCTGCCCACGCTAACAGCGTTTCCCCGCCGACACGCGCGTCCGTACCACAGCTCCAGCAGGCCGTGGCCGACAGACCCTCACCGCGACGGGCTGGAAGCCAACAAGAAACGCCACAAAGGAGCGACATTTCGGCCGCCCGCGACCGCCACGCGAGGCGTCCCGGCAGCGTGGCCGCCGCCCGCTCTCCCGCCCGCCTCCAGGCCGGCCGCCGCCGAGCTGACCGCCAGCCCGGAGCGGCGCCTCACCGCCCTGTTCCACCGCACCCGATCCGGCCCGTCCTAGCTCATCTCGTACCCTCGCACCCCTCCGGGCCGCTCGGCCGTTAGAGTCCGGCAAGAAGAACGCGGCCCCACCCCGCCCCACGCGCCCGCGCGCCGGGACTCTCCGATTGCCGCTTCCTGTTGCGGCAGCTCCGCCCGAGTCTGGAACGCAGTGCGTGGAAACGCTGTGCCCGGGCACCGCCGGCGCGAGGCGGGAGGGAGCCGCGCATGCTCCCCCCTCGAGCTCGCGGCGCCGCCGCCCTCGGGCGGGTCGGGCGCTGCCTGCGGCGCGTTTGCAGTGCCCGCTTCCCGCCGGGGCGGACGAACGTAAAGTGGCGAAGTAATGCACAGCTAAAGCACCTTCCTAATTCCTTGCTCCCAAAGTCTTAACGTGTAGCCACTTACAAGCTTGCTCTGGTAGCAAGGAATTACAAAAGTGCTTTGGATATATTTTATTTCCCTATTTATGTGATTGGAATTTCCACGGACCCGGGGAAGTCTGTGTCCCGCTGAGCGGGATTGTATCGGAGCTCTCCCATTCCTCAGTCCTCTAACAGAATGTTGATCTGCATCTGAAGAAAACAAGAATTCTATGAAAAATGTATCACGATGTCCACAGATTACCAGACAGTCTGAATGAAGTACATAATCCGCCGAAGACCAAGTTATTCTCGAAAAACAATCCAAATATGGGCAGATTATTTGAGAATACACAGCACAAGCTGTCACAGTCACAATTTTCCTCATGTTTGTGTGGAACTTTCTGTGCTCCATTTAATGCCTGTTGCCCCTGGTTCTGTCTCTAAAAAAATCCTGGTCCCATCCTCTTGAAACCCTCCCTTCAGATATTTGTGTGTGTTGCTAAGATCCACTCTCAGTCTTCTCCAGAGTCTTAGAATCAAGTAATCATTACAGTTGGAAAAAAAGCCCGAAGATCATCTAGTCCAACCATCAACCCATAACCACCACTCCCACTAAACCATCTTACTGGGTGCTGATTCAGGTTGCAGCTTGACATTGTCCGGATTGCCAATGAAGATACCAAACAGGACTGGCCCTAGAAATAACCCCAGAGGAGAACCACTAGTGACAGTTGCCAGCTGGATTTAACTTAATTCACCACCACTCTCTGGGCTCGACCATGCAGCCAGTTTGTCACCAGTGAACAGTACACATGAGCTGCCAGCTTCTCCAGAAGAATGCCGTGGGAGACAGTCAGATGTTGAACAGACGCAGGTCTCTCAGTATTTCCTCAGAAGAGGAAATTTGTAGCCCTTTGCTGGACTCTCTTCAGTAGCTCCCTGTCTTGAATGGACAAGCCCAGGAACAGACACAGTACTCCCGATGTGGCCTCAGAACAAGTCGCTGAAGAGGCAACATAGATCAGTGGATAGGGCATAGAATGGGCTCCCTCAATTTGCTGGCCACGTTCCTTTTAAGATATCACTGACCATCTTGGCTACCAGAGCAAACTGATCACTCATGGTCAACCTGTGTCCACCAGGACAACTAGGTGCTCCACAGAACTCCTTTTCATGATGTTCTAGCAAACCACCAGATTGGTCAAGTATGATTTCCTTCTGGTGAATACATAATGACTGCTCCTGATAATTCTCTTTTCTTCCACTTGCTTGGAGATAGCATCCAAAATAAGTTGTTCCATCACCTTCCCAGGAATGAAGGTGAGGCTGACTGGCCTGTAGTTTCCCAGGTCCTTCTTCCTGCCCGTTTAGAGGACTGGAGTGACAGGCATTCTTCCAGTCCTCAAGCACCTCTCCTGTTCCCCATGACTTTCAGAGATGATAGAGAGTGGAACCACTCCATCACTTTTGCTTGCTCCATCAGTATGCATGGGTGCATCCTGTCAGGGCCCATGGATTTGTGTGCATACAGTTTGCCTAGATAATCTCTGATCTTCTTCCACCAAGGGGAATTCTTCTCTTCCTCACACTCTCTCTCTTATCTCCGGAGTCTGGGATTCCTGAGGTGCAGTCTTAGCAGTAAACATTGAAGAAAAAAGGCATTCAGTAGCTCCACCTTCTTGGAATCCTGCATTACCAGGGCACTCACCTCATTCAGTGCAGACCCACCTTCTCCCTAGTCTTTATTTCAACCTCCCTTAGCAGATTTGATTCCATGTGGGCTAAAGCCTTCCTTGTTTCAGGAAGTCCTAGTACAGCACTCCTGTATTCCTTCCAAGTAGGCAGAATGTCTTCCCCCAGTCCATAAACTTCCCACAGTCACAGTTTAGAACATGTCACTGAAGAAACTACATAGACCAATGGATAGGACACAGAATGGGCTTATAAACACAGTTATCCTCATTACAATTGTTACAGAAGGGATTCCATCACTTTACTGTCGTCTATATTAATCTTAAGTACCTGTGTAGAGATCCACGAAGATGAGCTGTACGAGGTTCCAGCCAGCTCTGCAGAGCTGTATGGGTGCCATGTTTCTTCAGTACTGGAAACACAGGACTGATCAGTCCCATCACCAGTACTGTGTGCTCTCTTAGCATTACAGGGAGCTGTGCTGCATCATCTATTCTGAAGATTTGGGTTGCATTTGGTCTGGTAACCCAGTCTCCAGATTTGGTGTGACTGCTTAAGGTGGATGCAACAGCTGGAAGAGAACAGAATTGAGTCTTAATCTTTCTTTAACTCAGTCTGTTGGATTTAAGTGTTTGACATTCTGGAAAAAGGAAGAGAATAAATACATCAACATAATTCTGACCTTAGCAGAACAGGGAGCAACAACTTGCTTCACTTGCAGGCAGGATGCCAGCCTGCTGCTTTGCAAAGCTGCAAACCGACACTTGCAGGAAATCATTTGGAAGCAATGTTTTAAACCGATGATTCAAACTACAAGCTCAAGAAATGCCACTGTTCACAAGGAGAACTGAACTGTTTTTCACCTCTGAAGTTTATTCATAGCTTGCAGTAATTTATCACCTACCAGGGTACTAACTTCTTACTTTAGCAGGCAGCAGGTCTGGTGGAGGAGCCACAGATTCTATCTTTCAAAACGAAACCATTTGCTAAAAATTGGTGATCCTCTTCTTAAAGTCTAATAGCATCGGTATGGTATGCTACTGTCTTCCAACACACTATCTTCAATGCAAAATATATGTATTTTGTTATTGTAAGTTGTTTTGAACAATTTGTCTGCAGTCTTCTGTTTATTCAACACACTAGTCTGTATTTGAAGTTTAGCTTCAGTCTATGTACTTAACAATGTACTAATGAGCCTGATCACTGGCAAAATGTTGTGGAAACTTTTTTGTTTCGCTCTTAACACTGTATTTATTTTCTTTTTAAAAATGCAAGTCTCAGTAGACTCTTTTGAAGAACACCTTACTTATAGAGGAAGCCAGAATAACACAATCCTAGGGTTTCAGAGGGAGCTCTGGGGATCATCTAGTCCACCCCTGCTACAGCAGGTTCCCTAGACAGGTTATGAGTATCTCCAAAGGAGGAGACTGCACAGCTTGTTTCAGTGTTTTGTCACCCTCTGAAGTTCTTTCTCACATTCAAGTCATCTTGAGTTGCTTTTTAATTAGGAAAAATCAAAATATTTTCAGCAGCCCATCTGTCATCCAAAATAAAATCACTGAATGAAACACACAGAGGAAGGCTTCTGATTCCTCAGAATTGACAGATTCAAAAGATTCTTTCCAAAAGCTTAGAAAATTGGAATATCTAAAACAAATTCTGAAAACATTGCCTGAAAACTAAGATGTGAACTTGTTTAATCTGATATGGAAGATGAACATAATTATATGACTAAACAGAACAATGACTGAGCCAAGGGAATTTCTGCAGATTGTCTGCTCCTGCGTAGTAAAATACTAATATATGCATTTATTTTTTCTTCAGTATCCAACACTTTATAACTTAGGAAAAAATAGTAAACTTTAACTACTGCTGAAATATGCATGAGTCGAAGCACCAAACCAAATAATTCTGTAGCTACCAAGGCAGATGCAATTTTGTGTCTATACTTTTATATTCAGCTAAACAATTCCAGATGTACAGCCTACCTTGTTTGTAAACAGCTGCTGCCCCATACAATCACCTATTTTCCCAGAGGAGGAGTTTCTCTGTCAGGTGTGTTGATTGTCTTTTATTTTCTGATAAACTCTTGTCCAGCTCTGTGGGACAGAGATAAAGCAATCAAGAAAATCAACCAAATTTGACTCCTCTAAGCCACTGGAAAACTACAGTTTCTATCTGCTCAACTGAGTAGGAGTGAAGTTCTGCTGTTAACTTTTGTAATTGACCTTTCTGAATAAACCAGGAGAGCCTAGAACACAGCAGGACTTCCTCAGTAGCAGCTGCAGTCTTTTTTTTTTTTTTTTTTTTTTTGTCTCAGTTTTGTTTCAGTAACAAAACTAAAAGCAGGATGACAGCTCTTCTCAAGAGGACTTCCCCTCCCGCACCAATGAGATGGGGCAGAGCCAGCAGGAACCTAGCCTGTACAGCTGCGCCTCAGGTCTTGTATCGCGGGTGGCACAAAATGGCTATGTCTGACAGCGTTAGCGTAATCATGGAAAGACTGAAAAGTCACGGCATGTGCTACCTGTTCCATGCAACCCATCCCCCCCAGCTCTGGCAGCCCATCAGCACCAGCGTGCTGAACTGTGACTCGCTGAGCGTGACCGCAAGGTAGAGTCAAACGCACACGTGAGCTGACGGGCCTCGTAACTCTGAATACAGAGAAGGGCCAGACCCAACTAGACCGACAGCGAGGAAGAATCTATTTAATGAGCTGATTCGGCGGTGGCTGAAACGGTGTGAGAGGACCGTTTGGTGCTGACAGGCAAACAAGCCGGGCGCGGCCGGAGGAAGCCGCGGGTGCGCTGGGGAGAGCCGACAGCTCCGGGCCTGGCAGATGAGGGCTGCGAACCGCCAGGAAGCGGCGTGCTGTAGCGGCTTTGCGCGGTGACAAACACAAAAGGCGCATTTGGGACAACCACGTTTCCATTACTCAGACGAGGACGGCGATAATTAACTGCTCCTCGCTTGTGAATGGGCGAAGTTATCGGCCGGGCAGAGCCCGAGGACGAGTCGGTGGACCTTAAGCGGGGGTCCGGGAGCCCGAGCGCTGCGGGGCGAGCTGCGGCGGCCGCTGGAGGAGCGCGACCTCGCCGCCCTCCCTCCCCATCCCTTCCCGCCGCTACAGCCGCAAGACCGCACCGCCGTTCCCTCCTCCCCCGCCCGGCGGCGCCGCGACGGCCCCGCCCCCAGCGAGCGCAGGAACGAGCCACTCGCAGCGCCGAGGGGGGTACGGGACGGGACGGAGCGGACCCGCGACTCCCTCGTCTCCCCGGGGCGCGCGGACGGCGCTCTCCCAGCGGCTGCCGCCACCGCCTCTCGGGCGGGCGGGCGCGAGGAGCCCGGCAGCCGCCCCCCCCGGCCGCGCCGCGCGGTGCCCGCCCCCCGCCGCGCCGCGCAGGTGGTACCGCCGCGCCGGGCGGGAGGAAGAGGAGCGCGGCGGCGCCGGCTGCGGGTGGAGGTGGGCTGCGGGGCGGGCGCCGGCGCACGGGGGAGCGAGGCGCTAGAGCGCCGCGGACGAGAGGCAGAGCCTGGCCTGCGCCCGCTTCGGCGGCTGCGCGCCTTCGCGGGGGTCGGGCGGTGCGGCCGTGTGGCGGGAGCCGCGAGCCGTGAGGGCGGGGACTGGATCCGCGCGTGGCCCGTGCGGCGTCGGTGCCGCGGCGGCGTTATCGGCCGTTGGTGCTCGGCGCGGGGACCTCGCGAGCGCGGCGCCGCTTCCCGCTCTCCGCATCCTCCCGCGGCACGCTTGTGTCGGCAGCGGGGCTGTCGCGCGGAGCGCCCTCCCCGCGGCCCGGTCCCTGCTCGCGGCGAGGCGACGGACGGCCTGCACGGCGGTGAGACGACATGAGCCGAGATTTTAAACCCGGGGACCTCATCTTTGCCAAGATGAAAGGTTATCCGCATTGGCCGGCCAGGGTAAGTCCCCTCGGCCCTTTCTCTCGCGGAGGATGCGTCCCCTCCCCCCCGCCTCTCCTTGTCCCGCCGACCCCGCGCCGCGCTGTCGGGCACCTGCGGGGAGCTTTGCCGCCGCGCTGCCGCCCGCCCCCCGTGCGGTGCCCCGGGCTGAGCCGACCACCGCCGCGCTGCAGGCCCCGCGCTCGCCCTGCCGTAGCTCTCTAGCAAGCGCCGGTCGTCCCAATTTGCGTAACTTTATTTTCAAAACGTAGGCTTCTGTGTGGTGGCATAACAAACACTGGAGCTGCGCGAGGACCCGATTATACAGAGCTACTGTTCCCGAATAACGGCTGTTTTGTTGGTTTTTTTACCAAAGGAGAATACCAAGTTGTGGTAGGGTTAATCTTTAGTACTGAAGTCAGGTATTTCTGTAGCTTTTCCTATAGGAGAAACTGAACTTAAGTGCAGAGTTGTCCGGTCCTTTCTCCCTTCCACACCGCTCCCTTGGAGGTGCCATGGCAAGTCCTGTGGCTGCTCCAGGGCATGCTAATAGACATGAACTTGTAAATTAGGCTAATCGTGAACCATTTAGCTAAGGTGCCAGGTTAAGAATTTGTGACTATTTTCCTGGACAAGTTATCAGCTTAGCTTACAGGTAGGAGGTGTTACTGTGCGTTATGCTGAAAGAGAGACTGTTTTTTGGATGGATTGTTGCTTGTACCTGTAGCAAGCTCATCGTGCCTCTCCTTAAAACAAACAACCAAAAAAAAATTTAAAAAAATGGAAAGTGTTGCTGTAAAATGAGAAGTGTTGTCACTTCTTACTGACTATTAACATACTGCCCTCAAGACCTACTTTACTTCTCTGTAGCGTCGTTTCTTTTTTTTTTTTTTAAATGCTTAGCATTTTTAAGTATTTTCCTTTAGACTGTTATCAACTTTTGCCTGAGTTTAATTGCAGTTTGTCTTTTCCTTAGGTGGATGAAGTTCCTGATGGAGCAGTAAAACCTCCAACAAATAAAATGCCTATTTTCTTTTTTGGCACCCATGAGACGTAAGTCCTTTATACCTGAGGGCCCTGTTTCTTTCATTGGGTCATGTTTCATTCAGCAGCGACTTAATGACTTATCTGAATGTTGTGTATTGTAAAACTGCAGTGTTCAGTAGTGTATCATCTCCTAAATTTATCTCTTCTGACAGGATGTGTTACTTTCACGTTTGTTTAAGCTATTCAGACAAATGGTAGACAGTAACTGTACCGTGTATTTTCGCCTTCTCGGTAGAGAAACAAATCCTACCCGAAGTGGTATGACTAAGTTTTTCTTTCTCTTATAATGACATTTAATTATAGTTCTGTATGTACTTAGAAATTGTTGAAAATCTGTTCTGAAAAGAAGTGGAATAACACTGACAACAATGAAGCAGGTAAAACTTGAGGAAGAAGCAAATTGCCCTTTCCATTGGTTTTCATTTTTTTTCCCCCCCCCCCAGAGGCGTTCGTGCTTGTATTTGTTTTTAAGATCTTGAGGAAAAATGGGAACATATCATAGAGTATCCCGAGTTGGGAGGGACTCGCAAGGATCATTGGCTCCAAATCCTGGCTCAGCACAGGACCACCCAAAGCTCAGACCTTATGTCTAGCGTAGTCCAGATGCTTCTTGATTTCTGGCAGCTCAGTACTGTGACTGCTTCCCTGGGGAGCCTGTTTCAGTGCTTAACCACTCTCTGGTGAAGAACCTTTCACTAATACCATCCTGACCCTTCTCTACTGTAGTTTCATGCCATTCCTTCAGGTTCTTTTGATGATCATCAGACAGAGAAGATCAGTACTTCATCTCATCTATTCCTCTTGTGAGGAGCAGTAGGCCACTATGAGTAGGCCTCCTCTGGGCCATACAAACAGAGTCTTCAGCTGCTCCTCAGACGTCTTTCTCTCTGTATCCTTCACCATCTTCTTTAGATGCTCTAATAATGTCATTTCTGTAGTATGGTGCTCAAAACTGTACATAATACTCAAGTTGAGGCAGGACCAGTGGAGTGGAATTTTTGTTGGTGCTTCCAACAATGCTAGCATTTTGCAGTCGCACATTTGTTTTGAGGGGACTGCATTCCACTGCTAAGTTCTGTTGCAGTTCTGCACTGTTGAGGAAAGTTTCCTGGAAATAAGATTCAAAGTTGCATTGTTTGAATACTGTCTCTTTACCTAATGAGACACTTATTTTAATGGTAAATTTAAGCAGTACAGTAGGTTATCTTTATTCTTAGTTCTTTTTCCAAGATGCTTTTGCAGTAAAAAATGCAATATTGTATAGTTTATTTTCCTTGCTGATGTATATAGTTCTGGATTGATGTTGTACTTAAAGTAGTTGTTTCTAAGTTGGCAGACCTAGATTGAATGTAAAGGAGGAAGAGTTCATTGTCTAAAGTTTTAGAAATGCCTCTGCAAATTTTGAGAAGCATCATGGTACCTTTTAATTTTCAGTTATGTTTCTGACTTGTACTTGGCTTTGGAATCTTTTGCTAGTTCGCATGGGCAAATTTAGAATTCCTTTTCACTCATCCTTAACAAGATAAAGTTTTACTGCAGCCTAATTTTCATTGGGCTGTGTATGTTCAGGGCAATCTGCAAAGTACAAGAACACCCTTTACTGT